TTCTAACAAGTTCCCAGGTGATGCGAATGGTGCGGGTCTGCGGACAGTTTGAGCAGCAAGTGCACCGGAGGCCTCGCAGGGCTTCCTGTCTTCAGGAGACGCTGGGGTTGAGACAGTGACCATCGGCCTCGATTTGGCAGATGGGGATGGAGACTGAGATATTAAGTGGTTTGCACAAGACAGTTCAGCAAATTAGTGGCACAACCCAAAACAACTTGGTAAATGCTTAGCGTGTTTGGGGTCACCTGTTCTGGATCAGAAGGGAAGCCAGCAGGCCTTGAGTCTGTCTACGGAAAGGATCAAACCTCTATCCTTTGCTGAGCTTTTACATTCTGTATATTTCTGGCCATAATACTAGATAGTTTATGGTATTTTAATCAGAAAGACTCAGAGTGTCTAATGGTGAGACCGGAAACCTGACACTTTATTCCTGGCCAGAGCTGGGCAGGGTGTACAGTTGCCAGATAAAATGCAGGATGGCCAGTTCAACTTGAGCTTCAGATAAACAAAGTATAATTTCTAGTATAATCATGTCCCATGCATAATCTAGGATATACTTACACACACAAAAAAAGTATTCACTGTTTATCTGAAATTCAAATTTAACTGGTGGTCCTGGATTTTATTTGAGGGACTTAGCAGATAACAGGGTGGCAGGTGGGAATAAGGAGCGAGGGGGTTTGGTAACAAGGCACATTTCCTGCTTCATCGCTGTCCACCTTCAAGAAAACCACAAGGACACAGCGTGGCAGGCTCTCCACCAGGATGTGCAACTGTGCCGTCTCCTTGTTTAGTTCCTAGCTCTGAACGGAGCTTAATCTTCTGAACTAGCTCATTATAATGTGACAAAATCATACATCGATAGCTGGTGTCATGAGGTGAACTGTGTCCCCACAAATTTCATATGTTCAAGTCCTAACCCCCAGCACCTCAGAATGTGCCCTTACTTGGAAATCACCTAAGGGCAGATGTAATTAGTTAAGATGAGGTCACAGTGGAGTAGAATGGGCCCCTAATCCAACAGGACTGATGTCCCTATAAAAAGGGGGAATTTGGACACAGAGATTGACAAGCACACGAAGCAAATGCCACACGAAGATGGGCGTTATGCTGCCACAAGCAAGGAACCAGGAGCGAGGGTTGAGGACCGGGACAGACCCTTCCTAGAGCCTTCAGACAGAGCGTGGCCCTGCCGACACCCGTGCTGTGGACTTCTTGCCTCCGGAACTGTGAGATGATAAATTTCTCCACCCAGTTTGAGTTTAAGCCGCCCAGTTTGTGGTGCTTTGTCACCGCGGCCTGATACACAAACGCTGGGGGCTGAAGAAGTGGGGAGAGAAGGAGAGGCGGTGAAGCAGAGCAGGCGAGGAAACACGACATCACCACGAGCTCTTTTCCGTAGAACGCGATCCTCAGCGAGGGAGGACACGGGATTTGGAGATGGTAGACCGCTTTGTCTGGGGATAGTCACTGCTCTACTGAAATTCAAATTTTAGATATGGAGTCGAACAAGTTACACGCTGTTTAAAGAAGAAACCTCAGAAATCAGAATTTACCCAGGTTATGCAAAAAAGGATACCTTCCCGAGCACTTCCAGCCTTAAAGAGATTTGGGGGAGGATTTTAAAAATCACAGCCTCAACAGAGCCGTTATTGTGAACTTTCTCCCACGAGAAGTTTGCTTTCCTTCAGTACTTACAAACCAAATATTACCATCCTGGGTGCGTGATTAAGGAGCTCAAAACGAAATTAAGCAGGCTATTCCGATTCCGTTGTCTCTCTTGATTATTTGCTTGTCATATTTCAAATAGCCCCGAATGGCAAGATTTAAACAAAAGATAGGCTCTTGAGCAATACTTTATCCTCTCTTTCCAAAGTAACTGAAACCTCCTCAATCCAGTATGGACTATAATGCACCTTCACCTGTACCCAGGCCTTGTGTGGCCCGGAGGAGAATTCCAGAAGCAGAATTCAATAACCCCACCCCAGAAAAATGCAAAACCGAGCTGGCTCGGGTCACCCTGGCCTTCGTTCAGTTACTAGAACATGCCAATGTGTTTGTTTCTCACCTGAGGCCTTTGCACACGCTGATCCCTAAGCCTGGAACATTGTTCCTTTTGCCCAGACCTCCTTTCTATCCCTCCGACACAACTTCCCACACACACTCGGCTCAAACGTCAGCTTCTCAGAATCATCTTCTGTCATCACCCTTTTCTTTTTCCTTATCACACAACCTTGTATATTTCCTTCACTACCCTTATCACTAAACTATAATTATTTATTGTGTACTTGTTTTATTATCTCTCCCTCCCTAATCAAAGGTCAAGCTCGATGAGTCAGAGATTAGACGAGTTTTAATGGAATCCTTTTTTTTTTTTTCTGAGGAAGATCAGCCCTGAGCTAACATCCATGTCACTCCTCCTCCTTTTGCTGAGGAAGAGCGGCCCTAAGCTAACATCTATTGCCAATCCCCCTCCTTTTTTTTTTCCCCCAAAGCCCCAGTAGATAGTTGTATGTCATAGCTGCACATCCTTCTAGTTGCTGTATGTGGGACATGGCCTCAGCATGGCCGGAGAAGCGGTGCATCGGTGCGCGCCCGGGATCCGAACCCGGGCCGCCAGTAGCGGAGCACGCGCACCTAACCGCTAAGCCATGGGGCCGGGCCCCAGACACGTTTTACAAATCACTTTACACCCAGGGCCTGGTGCACAGTAGGCACACAAATATTTGTCTGGATTGATCAATTAATTATTTAAAACAAACAAGTGAAGGCATGGTATGATTGACAGAGGGAAGCTCTTTATGCGCAGAACCTCCAAGGGCAGCCCTGGAGCACAGTCTAGGCTTCTCATCCTTGCTGTGAGAGGCATGCTTTCAGGATATGACTTGTCTGCTGACTTCTCCGAGAAAGTGTCAAACTCATCGTCTGATCATGATCTGGCTTTACAAACAGGCCCCTCCTATAATAAAGGCATGCCCTGGTCACACACACGTCAACTGCTGTGACCCCCAGGACGATACATTCTCATGGTAAATTAATAAAGCAGAGTTGGGTTATGATCTAGCATCCGATATAAATTGACTCCGGGGAGAAATGTAATGAAAATACCAGCACAAAATTTGATAGCTGGATATCTCTTTATAAATTAATAAATTAGCATTCTGACCTTAAAAAAAGAAAAAGCCGGGGCCGGCCCGGTGGCGCAAGCAGTTAGGCGCCCGCACTTCGCTGCGGCAGCCCAGAGTTTTCCCATTCGGATCCCGGGCGCGCACCGATGCACCACTTGTTAAGCCATGCTGTGGCGGCGTCCCATATAAAGTAGAGGAAGATGGGCACGGATATTAGCCCAGGGCCAGTCTTCCTCAGCAAAAAAAAAAGAGGAGGATTGGCTTGGATGTTAGCTCAGGGCTGGTCCTCCTCACCAAAAAAAAAAAAAAAAGAAAAAGCCTATGCATTTTGTATTTACAAAAAGTTTACAAACTTAGGATTTATGGGTCATAAGAATCAGATGACAGAGAGGATTTTGGCAACACATATACAAAACCTTTAAAATGTACATACTACTTGACCCAGAAATTCCAATAGAAATTTATCCTAAGAAAATAATCATGAATGTATGAATGTATGCAAGTTTAGTCACAAAAACGTTTACTGTAGCACTGTTTATAATAAAAATTGGAAACTTAAAATATCCAATAATATGGAATTGGATAGATAACTTGTGGTAATCCCTATTAAGAAATACTCTGCAGCTTTTCAAAATATCTTATTGACTGGAATAATAAAGAATGATATGGAAGAAAGATTCATCATATGCTAACACCAAAAAAAAAAAGGGTTATGAATCAACACTCCAAAACGTTAACTCTAATTTTTGCTGCGTGGTGGGGTCATGTGTGATTTTTATCTTCTTACATTTACCTATATTTTATAAACTTCCTCTGCGAGTCATGCATCACTGATGTAAATGTATTTTGAGAAATGTTTCTTTAAAAATAAATTTTAACCAGTCACAAAAGGACAAATGATTTCACATATATGAGGTACCTAGAATAGACAAATTCATAGCGACAGAAAGAAAGGTGGTTGCCAGGGGCTGGGGTGGGGGCAGAATGAGGAGTTATTGTTTAATGGGGACAGAGTTTCAGTTTTGCAGGATGAAAAGAGTTCTGGAGGTGGATGGTGGTGATGGCAGCTCAACAATGTGAGTGTGTTTAATGCCACTGAATTGTACACTGAAAAATGGCTGAGGGGGTAAATTTTATGTTATGTGTATTTTACTACAATTTTTTTAAAAACTAAAAAAAATTAAATCAGTAAATCCTAAGTAGAGCTGGTCTAGAGGTGTCTAACTTAGTATTAAGATTTTCAAGAGACAGGAGTGGAGAAGGCTAAATTTGACCCTGGACCACATATGGCACTGAGCAAGACAATCCATCATGCCCCCCAGGGCTGGAGCTTGCCCTGGGACGAGCAGTGTTTGCCTTGTTTCCTGACAGTGGCGCTGGCCATGGCCTGGCCTGTCTCTTCTTCCCTGAGCATGGAGTTTTCTTCACAGGTCACGGGTTAAGAGATTTGCCCCCAACGCCCTTCAACGAGTTCCTGATGGAGCCAGGCAGAGAATGGAGTCTCACCCTGAAGTCCAGACAAGTCACCACTCTGCCACAGAATGAAGGACGGGACCAGGTTCAGCTAACACAGGACCAGGTTCCGCTAACACAAATTCCTCTTTTATTCATCAAGAGGGCACCCAGCGCTTTGGAACTGGGAAAGCAGGGCAATGCCTGGTTCCTGGCGGTGGGACCTGAGGGGTCCCCCCAAGGCTGTGGAGCTGTGGGCCAAGGGCTGGACGTGGCCTGCACTGTATCTTAACAGCAGTAGGATGCTGGACACTGAGTTTAAATATCTAAAAAGATCATACAAATACAGAGGAAGGGGAGGTTTCCAAGTCCTCCCAAGCTAACAGTGCCAGGGAAGGACAGAGCCAGTGCTTCTCTTACCTGCTGTAGGCACGCTAACGTTATACTGAGGTAAAATAAATAGGAAGGCAGTCTTGGCGGTGACCTGTAAAATAAAGGAAAAAGGTTCCGATTTAGCTTCTTGCTCACATCAAAAGAAACTAGTGGAGCCTGCGACCAGCCCCCAGGGCCCCCTTTACGTCTCAGACCCACTGGCCTCTCCAGTGAGGGGTTTTACCTAACACAGAGGTAGCACCAGGTTTGCTCTGTTTCTTTAATGACATCCCTCCCAATACCTACACAAAAACAAACAAAGCAATCCCGGGCCCTGGATGGAATCGAGACCTGTGCTCGCTGCAGGTGGAATGCAACAAGCTGTGCTCGGCCGGCTGAGAGCTCACAGGCTAAGGGTACAAATCCGTCTGCCATTCATTCATTCATCCAACCATCCACTCATTCATTCAAGTATTTACTAAGTTAGTTCTACATACCCAGCATTGCGGAAGATGGAAACCAGCAGATGAGGTCACAGCCTTCAAGAAGCTTCAGACCTAGGTTTCCCCAGCACATTGGTTGACTGCACACTGCACAGCAGCCCCAAAGTCTAAACCTGAGCTTCAGAAACTGAGAATTCCAGCTGCTAATTTCACATCTACCTTCCTGTGGGGCACGGGGCAAGCCATAACACCCCACACTGCAGGTTTGTTTATTTCGAAAGCTGCTTTTAAAATCTTAATTGTGCCGTGAAAAATCTGCGGTTGTCACCTGGTTATTAATGGCCAAACCAGTACTCTGGCAGTTCAGCCTGCAGGGGAGAGATTCCAAACACGGGGATCCAAAGCCTAGACTCAAGAATCGACTGCCTGGGTTCATGTGCCACCTCTGCCATTTGCTGCTGTGTGACCATGAGCAAGTCACCTTACCCCTCGAGCCTCCACTTCCTGGTCCAGAAAGCAGGGACATTTGTAGGACCCCAGCTGGTCTGGGTGGTGCTGGCCCAGCTGTTGGTGGTATCTGAGGCTCCCCAGAGGTTTCTGATGTGCAGCTGGGGCTGAGCACCACTACCCACACAGTTCTGGAGCATGTGCGGAGGCCAGGTGAGAAGGAGGCCTCTGGAGACACCTCATCATTAAAGAAAGAGTTACGGGTCCTCCTCTGCACAAAAAGCTTTGAAGGACACACCGTGGGTGTGAGGGGAAACACTCTGGGCATGGCAAAAGCAGCATGCATCATTCCTGACAGCCCAGAGGGAGGTCACTGTGCTGGCCTAGCCTAGAGAGACCACCCTCCCCATTACAGGGCAAAACTCCCCCCGTCAACAAGCCCCGTTTCTCTGCAGTGGGGGGTCATTTGCTCTTTGTACCTAGTGATGCACGAGCCTTCCCATGTCTTTGCGCTGCTGCCTTAGCCGTGTTCTGTCAGGCTGGCAGGGACGAAGTCCAATGGGACTAGGCGAGAAGGCGCTCTGGGAACACAACACCCTATCTGGATACACAGGTCTTCCCTCTCCCCACTCCACAGCCTTATCACTTTGGTGCTCAAGACCTTTTCCAGTGTGTTCCTGACCTCCCTTCCAGCCCAATCACCTGCACAGTCATGTGTCACTTAATGACGGGGACACGTTCTGAGAAATGTGTCGTTAGGTGATTTCATCATTGTGCAAACATCATAGAGTAACTTACACGAACCTAGATGGTATAGCCTACTACACACCCAGGGTGTATGGTACACATCTTATGGGACGTCCCCTGTGGGATGTTGGTGACCGAAACTTCGTTATGTGGCCCATGGCTTTATTTCTTTAGAACAGACATACTTTGTTTCAGCCAAAATGTGCCGCTCACCCTTTGCCGGTTTTAGCCCCTCTCATTTTGTACCCGACTTCCATACCCTCCCCCACAAAGCAAAGAAAAAGCTCCACTGATCAGAACCTCGCTCATCCTCCGTAACCCAGCTCAACTGCCCCCCGTCTGCGAAGCCTGCCCCCTGGTCACCACACTCACAGGGGCTCTTCCTCCAGAGCCTCAGGACCACACCCCACTGTGCCACCATTCCATGCAGTTCTCCTCAGCGTCACTCCTTGAGGGCAGGGGCTGTGCTGCCTCACCTTCCCCCACACCCTGCTCAAGTCACTACCCCAGGTGCTCACAGGAAGTGCTCAGTAACCGCTCACTGAAGAAGACGCAAGTCAAAAGCCGAGTCTGCGCTGGCTCGCTTCACTCCAACGTACTGTTCCCAAATACAAACTGTATCTGTCTTTAGTGGGAGCAGCCCCAGTGCTGTCCCTCCAGCTGTCCTCTCTGTCACCTCTGTCACCACAGCCTTGAGACTCGTCTAGCTGCCAAACCACCTAAACCCAACCCCTGCCAGCTCTGTCATGAAGGCCCCACCACCACCACCACTCCAGCCACAGTGGTCTCCCCAACCCCCCAACTCCACACACGCTGGTCATCCTTGACCTGACCACCTAGCTCTCTACATCGCCTGCCACGACTCCTTTGAGGGTACACCTTGTCTTCTCAGGCTGAAATCCCTGTGAGGGAGGATCAGAGGAAATGGAAGAGAGGAAGGAGAGAGGAAAAGGCAGGCGGGCAGGCAAGAAGGAAATATTTACCAAACACTGTGCCATGCCCCAGGCACACATCTCTCACTCAGTTTCCTTCAGGAAACACACTCGTCCTTTAAGGCCATGGGGCAGAGTGGACCTGCGTGGGGTTTTGGCCCACCAGCATCCATTCCTCCCTTGCTAACAGCACCCAAGTTTCCTGAGGAAACACCTCTCCCCAGCTGTGGGAGCACAGGGTGTGTGGGGGTCACTGTGGTGGCCACCTCCCTCCTAGAAGGATGAAGGGGCCAGACCCTCTCTCCAGGACAGAGGCCAGCCAATCGGACACCCTCTCCTGGGCTCTGAATCTTGGGCAGGAATGGAGGAAGTGCTGGTCAGTGCCGTGTGCCTGCCCAGATGCTTCCACTGTGGTCCCCACAGCCCTGCCCCTGAAGTGCCCCAGAGCCCCATCAACTGTGGGAACCCCCAGAGCACTCCCTACGTTGGCCAGAGTCCATTTCTAAGATACATTATTATTCAACGTGTAGAGTGCTGGTGTTCAATCCTGGCTACATATTTGAATCCCTGGGGGAGCTTTTAAAATCTCTATGCCCAGGCCATCCCCAGCCAATTAACCAGACCCTTTGGGGCATCAGCATGTCATCAAGCTCCCCAGAGCATTCCAACATGTAGCCGAGTCCAAGAGCCATTTGTGCAGAGACTGTTCCTCATGCTCTCAAAGCAGGCTCCTCTGGTCAGTCTGTCTTGGAACCTTCTCTGTGTCCTTCATAGAATTTATTTTTTAAGTAAATTTTTATTTTAACTTCAAGAGAAATACACATACTTTAAAAAACTGAAACAATCCAGAATACGTACGAAAAACCTAATATTCACTCTATGTTCTTTGCTTTTTTCCCCTTCTCCAGACCATATTCATGTCTCCCTCTGCATGTTCGGTGTCAATTCTCTGAGAGCTTTTCCTATGTGTTTATCCATGTGGAATTTATTTAATTTTGGCATTATAACTTGGACTGTGTTTACTGACACAAGGGATTAAAGAGTGAAAAAATTTTAAAAGAGCTACGACTTATTAAATAATATTTAAATTACTTTTTTAGCTCTGTTAATCAATGGCTGTTGCACATCATACAGACCAAGGTACAAATCTGTTCAACATACATGAAAGTATCCAAGTACAGTTACATATAAAAATGCGGGTGTCAACTTTTTATTTACTAATGCCCACATATAAATGAGTGGTTATATACTAAAACCTTCCTTATACATACTGGTGCTTTTCATTAATATTTCCCACAGGGTCACCCCTAATGTTTAACACTGAAAAGCTCAACCAAATAAAACAGGCTCTGCGGGAGTGTACATAAACGTATAGAGTCTGCTGTCCTTTCTTCTCAGAATAATCCCACCTTCTTTTTTGAAAGGAAGGTAGACTTTTGGTCTATGGGCTCTACATATATTCTTGCCCTACTCCCACATATTCAGTCAATTCTCGTTCTTCCCAGTGGTTCTGGTCTATGAAGTCACTGTGAACACTGAATTAGGGGATCCTCAACCACCGCTCCCGGGAGAAATACAGAGTTAGGTTCCGACAAGTCTCTGGTGACAACATTTCCATCAACTGATCAATATATAACCTTGCTTTATGTGTTTTTGTTTAGACGCTGTCTTCGATATCTGCTGTTGAAGCATGAACACTGAACTCACGGCCAGCAGCCCTGTGACTCATGTTGAAGGAAGTTCATCTCACACACGTATGTTCTCGGGAAGGCATGTCACAGCCTCCTTGCACTTAGGGACACCTGACAGCACTTCAGCACCAGGCTTGAGGGCCGCTTTAAAAAGTAAAATCACCAACAAAAAGCACAAAAATGAAAAAGGTGTGGCACTACACAGACTATAAAAAGGATGCTCATCTGTAGCAGGAGAGCTGAAACAAGGCGGCAGAGTGTCCTCCCATTTGACCTCAGCTGGGAACATGCTCATCGGGAGACTCAGATTTTTCACCACTCTGTGCAGTCCACAAGTGACCGCCACACCGCTGTGAGTACTGATTTTGAGGTTACAAATAAATTTTAGGGAGTAGGAGCGTTGGCGGATAGGCAATCTGCGAAGAATGAGAATTAACTGTATTGGGGTAAACCCAAATGCAAGCTCCCTGAGGGCCAAGATTTCTTCTTTTTTAACACCTTTATTGAGGTATAAGTTACACACCATAAAATTCACCCATTGTAAGAGTACAGCTTTATGGGGTGTATCTTTGTTTTTAAACTCTCTCTTTGCTGGAACATAAGTTCTAGGAAACTGGGGATCTTACTTGTCTTGATCATCTTCAACCCAATCTCATAAATACCTATTTGATGAACTAATACTGCAAGCAGCTGTAATATTTGGTAACCACAGACAAATGCTTAACAAATGCTTTCTGAACACAATTCTGAGAAGAGAACAGGATCTAGGACTCTGATTAAAGCAAAAATACTAGATTCCAGTATTTTTCCATTCCTACCCCCCTGGTAGAAGCAGCAGGTCATTCCAAAACG